AATCACTATAACAGAGTAATGATCTCCAATCATTTTAGCATTTTTTTCAACTTAAATTGTACAAAATTCACAAGCCAGGCCTCTTAAAGACAAAGTACTGCTGTTAAGTGAATAATTTTGAATTCTCTTCTGAGAACTTTGTTTTTTTTCATACTGACTCTCTTCAGAAACCTTAATGAACTGAAACTGAAATGCATAAAAATATGTTTTGCTTGCTTATACTGCTAATGAATTACATATATAACTAGGTAGAGACCAGGTGCATAGTATGACCTCACTAGTATCATTAATTTCTGCTACTTTGAGGATGTAGTGTAAACCATGGCAGGAAGAATGAGGCTGGTTTGACATTCATGAGCTGGTTAATCCACTGGATAGCATTCATGTGGAAAGAACGTGATTCTCAGAGTTCACTGAAGGCTCCAAAACAGCTGAAAACATGATTGAGACCTAGAATTGAGCTCCTTGAGAGACAAAAACAAACAAAACACACACACAAAAAAAAAAACAACACAAAACCCCATACTTCCCAAAACCAGTACTGAGAGTCCTCAATGCTATCGTTGCTCAAAGAAGCCTGAGATAAAAATGAAAGAACCTACAGGCCCTTTGGATATGGGAGATTTCTAAGGCCCACCTGATACAACTGCCATTTCTTCTTCCCCCCCCTCCCCCCCTTCTGTAACTACATAGGGTTCCTTGTATTTAACACATTTAGAATTGTTTAAAGACAATTTTGGGATTTTTAATGGCTTGTGAGCCACAAGAGATCGGTCTGCTAATGTAGCAATGCCGTCTAGCTTTTGTAACTATGACTCCAGTAAAGATAGCTAGGGAGATCTGTGTGATTTGTATGATACAGTAACAAACATGCACTCCAGAGTCTTTGTGTGTTGCATGTAAAGCAACAGTGATATGCTCTGTATTTTATGCCATTAAATCTAGAACAAATGGAGGCAGTCCCTGGCAGATCTGGGAAAACCCAAGGCACCTGTGGAATACCTAAAACAAACGAAATGAGTGCCTAATTATTTTACTTGCCCACAGGTCAATGCTAACAGAATTAGCAGTGATACAAAAGATGCAGGCATTCAAAACGTTCTGAAGAGTCCCTCAGAAATCTCTAAAGAGATTTGAGAAGTATTACAGCCCCAGGAGAAACAGGGATTGCCACACAGGAGTAGTCCTAATAGCTAACTCCCAGCATGGAGAGGCCAGGCTCAGCAAATTCCTTTCACCGTTACAAGAGAGGCAAGACAACACAGAGCAAGAATTGAGACGCTGTCTGAAGTGCAGGGAACATGGATCCTCAAATTCCTTGCTGCACAGCCAGCTCACAGACAAATAGGGTACAGCTGCTGGGCTCTTCACAAGGGGATCCCCATTGTAGTTGAGAGATGCCCTGGGACCAAGAAGTACTACTGGCTTCCTGAATACAGAGAAGAGGCTTGCACTGTCATGTGGAAGAGCCAGGAAATTCGCACTGATTCTGGATGGATCTCGGGGCACCAACCACTGTGTAAGGTAAAAAGCAACAGCTGCACACAGGTCTGTTTCACCACCTTTTGATGCTGAAGGACAGATCAGCAGTGCAGTTCAGTAACAGCTGCTTAGTGCATCCTCATACACAGCTTTGTTTAAGTTAGCTAACAGTGACAGTTTTTCTGTCACTAACTGTTGCCTACACAGAAGCCAGAGGAAAAGACTCATTATTCACTCAGACAGCTTTGATAATATCCACCTTATGAAGCCACAGCCACAAACAATTTTCACGTAAAGCTTTCAAGGCTGATTGGTGAATTCAATCAGACAAGGTCTTTCTTCTTGATAATGTAGTAGCAGTGGTTATTTCAGCTATAAATGCAGCTTTGCTGAATTAAAAGCATTTCACAGCCTATTCAGTTTCAAATCGGGATGGAAAAAAAAAAAATCAAAACATTCTGTGAGGACAAAATGCAATGCCTTCATTTCCTGTTTTCAATCTGCTTGATTTTCTACTTTTTAAAATCATTTCCACAGGAAAAAGATATTAAATGATTTAGCATTATACTAACAATAGCACAGATGAAAGACATTAGTGAAATGAAATCATTCCTGCAGGTGAATAACATTTTAAATTCATTCTGTAGATAACCTCAAATCTTCAAGTGTCTGATTTAATTGTGAATAAAAAAAAAAAATAAAGAAAAAAACCAAGCACCAAATTTTCTCAGGAAACAGAATGTGTGCTTTCTGATCTACAGCACTGCCAGCCTCAGCAAAGAAGGAAGCATGCTGTCTGAAGTTTAAAGACTTGAATAAGTCTTTGATTAGAGCAAGCCGCTTCCCCATACACTAGGCAGTGAAATCAGAAAAAGCTTTCACTGCCAGGAGCCATGTTGTACTGTACATATTTTGCAAATAAGAAAATAATACTAAGTTATAAAAAAAAAAAAAAAAAGACAACACTGCTAGCAAAGCAACATCTTTCAGAAGATACTCTGCACTATACTATGCAAAAGTGGTATAGTGTATACTAAAACCAAAAGACAGTTAGGAATTACATACTAAACTCCAAAATGAAAAATAGAAAGCTACATGATTTCCCAACACTCAATTTTCTTCAGAATTGCTAACAACCGAGTTTTATGAAGAATGTGGCTGCAGATCATAAGTCCTCCCTGTTATCCTCAATTCCCGAACCAGTCTGTTGAACATAATGGTTTCTGGGAGAGTCTTCCTGAATCACTTTGGCGTTCCCAGACTCCCTTTTCCATCTAAGACTTGTAGTAGTGCTGCGCCCTCTGCTGACAGCTTAGGATTCAGCAGCAGCACATGATTAAGCTGCTTTGCTCCTGCTGCTAAGACCAGACCTTGGAGTTAACAAGGTTAGTCCCACCTGACTTAAACCTTCCATTGCACTATGTAAAAGAAGCTTCACATTGAGACGAACATCTCAAGATTACGTTTCCTTTCTATGCTGGAAAAAAATTATATGAAAGACTAAAAAAAAAAAAAAAAAAACCACCAACAACTCTTAAAGTATTTGAAGATTTATAGAACATCACTCAAGACTAACATTCAAATAGCATAGTGTCCATAATCCATATAGTTCTGTAGAGGAAACTTTCTTACGTGGAAAACATGACCTTGAAATTAGTGTTGTAATTAATGGATTTCACTTCATAGCAAACACTTAACATGGCTAATGCTATTATAAAGAGTCAGTCTGCCTTCGTCAGTAAATGTAATCTCCCTCAATCGGCAAAGCTTACGCAGGAGTGACTAAAAAAATCTCACACACCTTGCCAATCATTCACTCTATGCCTAAGTAAAGATCACCTTCACTTTTTCATGTGGAACACTTACCTCTCATCTGATCCTGGGTTCAAGTTAAATGAATTGTACAGAAGCAAAACTGCACACCCATTAAAGCTTCTGATCCTAGGAACTACTGAATACCACCAAGAAACAGAAGGAAGCTTCCCTCTGGTCAAACTGGCAAAGACCATTTGGACAGATTTTCTGCCTTTCCTTGTAGCTTAGGATATGATTCACTTCCTCAAATCATCTGGGAATTTTACTTAACCATTTTCCTTCTATTCTAGGACCTCATTTACTGACACTGCCGATCTTTCTAGTTCTCTTCCTGTCATGCAATTAGGCTTGTGGGTTTGGATTTTTCCACAAAAGGGTTTTACATTTGTTTTAGGGTGCTGGGGCTCAGGTTGCTGTTTAGGTTTTCACAGGGCACAGTGTTTATCTAGTATACTCATTCACACCAGTTGTAGAAGATAATTATAAAATTAACTCCTCTAATTATGTTATTTACAATGTTGCTGTAAAGGTGGTGAACACTCACAGCCAATGGCCACTAACCAAACACAACTGGTATGGAAAACTGAAATATACTTTGGACCCTTGCAACTTAAAGCCTGCTGCCAGATGTGGGAAGAACTGACCTAGTTTATCAGGTGCTTAACAAGCATTCTTCTTCTACAGATTCTTCTCTCCATCCTTACAATTGTATACCACGGTGCTATATATTGGCTGAAGGTCAAAGTTCTTTGACTGCTACACTGCTTACTTCCCAGCTCCCTTGTTGCTTTTTCCTGTCCTGCCAGGTCAGCACAGACTTTACACCGTTTTGGATGCTAAGCTGAAAAAAAGCTGAAAAAAACAGCCACCAGGTGGCAAAATAGAAGTCACACAGCCTCTTTTAACAGTCACCTATGATTGTTTTCAGCTATTGTACCAGGATTCCTAATGCAACTGAAGTAGCGTATTAACAATATAGTTCTCCCATGCTTCTTAGAGGACTCATGTGACTTATTAAATTAGCATATTAATTATAATTACTCTTTGGAGTATTCAAGGCATTTTTATTCACAAACCTATCTCAAACATGAAACATCCTATGTCTAACCCCTTTTTACGCCTCCCTCAGGAAAACTGCCTAAATACATGCTCAAACCTCCATAGGAACAAGTTATATTTATACACTATTTAAATATCATAATCTGTTAGTATGCTTTAACCACTGCAGTGTTCAGTAAATGTAGCAGGCATTACACTTTATTTAAAGCAATATTATTCACTTTAAATACTTGATGCGTTTGCAGTTCTAATGCTTTTTACCAATACCATGTAAACAGGTCATAGAAAACAACAACACACTTGAGGAATAGAAGCATGAATGTATTATTTTTTGTGATTTTACTGAGTGTTTTTGCTGTCAGTGTTCTTTCATCTGTGTGGTCAAACCACTGTCTACTTGGGAGAAAAAAAAAAAGCATATAAAAAAAGTATAAAGAACACAGTATTTCCCTGCATGCTTTATTTATTGTGTTTCTACTACTTTCTACAGAGCTTGCACAACCCACAAGCTAACAAAACCATGAAAACACAAGCTTGAGAAAGCCAGTTCAGCTACAGCATGATTTGGCTGATGTTGCACGTATCCTTGCCACCAGATGTATGCACTTAAGAATCTCATTTTCCAGAAACAAATTTGTACCAACCTACTCTCTGAAGGAGGGAACTCTGGCAGAGCCCGACGCTTAAGAACTGAGGTTTCAGCTGTACGAAGACAGGCCCTGGGGACTCCCCCGGGATCAGGTGGCTTGCAGACTCTGAAGTTCAAGATGTTTACCCTCTGGTTACACAGAGACGTGAAAGATGGAACGGTGATCGCCCCGTCTGTTCCAGAGACGGATTTGAAAACAGGATTGTGGGATCATAAATACAGGATCAGAATGCTTCCCCGTAAACTTCAAAGGAGCAAAATCTTACGATAAACAATTTCCTATGCAAAAAAGCGTTACCCTAGCCCTCAAGAATTAGAAGTCAAACCACCTCATAAGGCGGCACCACCGAGATCCAGTCGAGCTGCCCTCACTCAACATGGCAGCCGTAGCCTCACCTTCCTGCCAGCCGCCTCACCCCTCGTCCAAGATGGCCGACCTACAGCGAGCGAGGCAGTTTGCCATCACTCAAGATGGCGGCTGCTTCCTGTAGCGGGGCAGCCAGTCCCGGCGGCAGCGTTCCTCGCTTATTTATTTCTTCGCGATCTCGCGGCCGTTGCTGGGAGTGACGCCGGTTCCAAGGGCGGTGGCAGCGCGGGGGCTGACGGGAGGAGCGGGGCCAAGTGGGCGGTGGCGGCGGGGCGGGAGGCGGTGGCCGCCGGGAGGGGGCCGGGCCGCCGCGACGCGGTTCCTGTCGCCGTGACATGGGTTCCCCCTCGATGGCGGCTGCCGCGGGAGGCCTCAGGTAACCGGCCGCGTCCCCGCGCCTCTTCCCCGCCGCCGCCATGCCCGCCGGGGCCCCGCCGCCCGTCGCGCAGCCCTCAGGTAGGACGCGAGGCTACCGCCGGGTTCTGCGGGTCGCCGCGCCGGAGCGGCTCGCCGCCTGCGGGCCTGGCCGGGAAGGTACCCCGTGCCTCGCGGAAGCGGACGGGGCTTTTTCTGGAGCCTGGCCCCGTGAGGGCATCGCCTCTTCGTCCTTCTTTCCCGCGCCGGGGAGGAGGACGAGGAGAAAATCTCCACGGTGCTGCCCCGTCCTTCGCCCCCCTCGGAGGACGGGATCGCCTCGGAGCAGGCGGCCGCCTCGGTGCTTTGCCCTTCGCCGAGCCCCGCGGGTGCGGAGCCGCCGGGCCGGGCCCGTCGTGAGGCGGCTCCCGGCCGTGTAGGGTGTGTAGCTGGGTGCGGGGGACCTGCCTTCAGCCACTAAGGTCACTTTTTTGGAGTGTCAGTCGCTGAAGAGGATGTGCTGGAGGGAAGTTATCTCTTAAGATTTTTATTTTTATTGTAGTGCTGTTCTAAAATGGGGCAAAATTGGTGAAGCTCCAGTGCTGATGCTTCGGTTTGCTGCTGTAAGTGGCTCCCTAGCAGACCGCGGTGTTCTCAGAGGGGACGATTCCTTAAAACAAGGATTACGCCTTCAGGCGTTCCTTCAGGGTGTCACCGAGGTGGCAGCCCTCCATCCAGCTTCAGCACTGTGTAGAAACTGAAACTTTAGCGAGTTTAATGCTCCTTGTGAAGTGAACCTCAGCTCATTAGGTAGTAGGAGACACTTCATCAACAAGAGCTGTGCTGTGATGGTCGTGTAAGTTCTGATTTTGTGCGTGGCTTACAGCATGCTGTGCCTCATCACAGCAGATTTCTTCAGCTGTGAAGTTTGTGGCAAAGTGAGTGTGATGGATGTTGCTTTTTTAACTGGGCTCGTCCTCAGAGGTTGAGCATAATTAGAAGTACCTCCATCTTGGTTTGTTCTCTGGATGCATCAGCCAGACTTGGAAAACCAATTAGCCTGTTTTAAGCCTAAAATCATTTTGTTGGTGGTGCACCCAGAAGTCTGGATGCACACTCCTATGCCTAACACTGTTGGGGGCATATGTGGAGGAATGTAATGCTAGCTGGGAGAGCTGGGCGAAGAAATGAAGTACCTATGACAGCTGAGGGGGTTGGTGTGCTTTGTTTTTGTTTTTCTTTTTTTTTTTTTTTTTTTAAGAAAGCATCCCTTTCACGTAAGTGAAAACAACTAGCACAAATTTGAGGGTAGGAGGACTTAAATATAAATTTACTGTATTAAAAATAGTCTTCAGAAAAAGTAACGTGCTACGTTGGCTCCACTTCACATGATATTTTTATAAAGTATGTACTACGTGACCTTCTAAGGTCATGTGAAAGTATGACCTCTTCTCTTGACTTCCTTATTTTATTAGTAAGCAGCTAAAGGATCTCAGCCTGAACGTAAATGCTGTCTAATTCTTTTATTTTGATTTTATTGTTGCTGTGATCATGGTTTCGCTTAGCAAAAGATTTCATGAATCTATATGACTTAAAATAATTCACAGTGAATTGCTATTTGTGATATGTATTTCTGTTGATTAAGGCAGGACATGATTTTATATTTGTAAGTAGGAGTCAAACTAGTGAAGCAATTTTTAAGTTAATGACAGCATTTTAACGCCTTAGTTACATCAAAATAACTCGTTCTGAAGCTCTCAAGTACTTTCAAAAGACTTGTCTTTCAGAGCAGAAATAATAAACCAGCTTAGACAGACTTCAGTCAACTCTTTGCCCTTTCCTTCTGAAATATTCATAGAGCTGTCCTTGCAGAAAGGTAGCAGTATCCGTTGGAAAACCTGTGGTAAAGAAACTGATGCTAGATCTGGTTTTCACTATACTCTGCAGCATAATCATCTTTCAGATACTTATTATCTTTTCCTACAAAATGTTCATTTCTTTCTGTGCCATTGTATTATCTGACAACTTAAACTATGTCTTTGTGAATGTTTCGCTGTGATGGCATGCTAACCTTTTCACAGGGATTCAAAACACTCATTTATGACTTTTCTGGATAGTCCTCTTCAGAGAATTGCCTTTCTCAGATCCCACTTAGCATCAAGTTTCTTGCTATTTTGTCTGTTAATTTTATTTTTCTTTTTTATAGAAAACACAATGCAAGCAGCTCCTTATGCACAAAAAAAAAAAAAAAAAAAAAAAGCCAACCAAAAAAACCTTGAAATGTGCCTTGTTTGAAAATTGACAGTCTTGTTTGCAGTAGACTTTTTCCAGTAGACTCTTCTATGCTTATGTCTTCATCAGTTAAAGCTTTAAATTCACATGCAAACGTCTCTAGTGGGACTGGTTGCAAAATGACTTAACGAGTCTGCTTCTGTACAGCAAATAATTTTGGGTTTTCTAAGTCCAAGAGTCCTGTTGTGGAAGAGCCACAAGGAAGGCAAATCCTCTTTTCTCTTTGCTATGTTACAAAGTTATGAGGAAAGGAAATGTGAAACCTTAAGTTCATTTATCTGTTGAAACATGATGGAAAATAGATCTTATTCTTTTGGAGTATTAGATGCCTTTCTTGTATTGTATTCTTAATATACCATAATATCAGTGGGTTGGATAAATGGCCGATAATGTCAGCTCTTCATAAGTGTACTTAACTTTTTTGCCCGTTTTTCTTGCTACTTATGCTATTTGTGTTGAAGAAAACAAGCAGAAGTTAATAGTAGTGGAGGGGAGAACAGTGGTTGATCTGCTTGTGCTGGTGTGTTCCCTCTGCTGAGCTTTGTGAGACCCTTTTCTGTAAGAGTACACCTCTGGGCTGTAGTAATCTGCTCTTTATTGTAGTATCGATGAAGTGTGAAGGTTTTAGATGTAATGGAGAACGTATTGCTCTGTAAATAAACCTCTAGGAAGAGTTGAGCTTAGGTAATTTACTTTTAATACTTCTTAATCCAGTGTCTTTTGATCTTGATTTGGAACAGGTTCCCAAAGAACATATTACAGGGTAACATCCAGAAACACATTTTCTCACAGAGTTGAACGCTGTTAAACGAATTTGAGAAATGATAAGAATGAAAACATCCCAGTTATGTGTGACTTAGGCAATCTGTCTCACTTTACACATTCTATGCATGTGTACAGTACATTGTGCACAAATGCAGTGTTCCCACAGCACCAGATTTTAAATTTGATTGACTTTCCCAGCCAGGCATGTTTGCTTACATGAGTTGAAAGCATGCCTGTTCTTAGAACATCTTCCCCAATGCATGTTTGCAGATTTAGATTCAGACAGTGTCTTTATCTGCAGCTGTTGAAGCAAAATCAGTTGATTTTGAGTGGAAACATTACATGGTTTTCTTGTGTATTGTAATTTATAAATGATAACCTGGTCTTTTTGTTTTGGGGAAGCGATGCTGTTCTTGGTTAAGAGGAATGTCATGAATGAACTCAATGTCCACATTCATATTTTTCAAATGTTTCTTGGATTCCATAGTTAAGTCTAGATGGAATAAGGAGAAGTGAAACAGCACAGCTAGCGAAAGCTGTTTTTTAATCATTTCTTAATAAGTCTGCAGCATCTGCCTTATTTACATTTCATATCTGTATCACCTTCCCTGTTCTTATCATCTGTGACGAGGAGCAGTGGCCAAGAGGTTTGATTCTGATACAGGCTGAACTGTCTGAGGATGCCTTGTTTTCACTGCCTGCTCGGGGAAGGCAAAAGGTCAGGAAGATTGAGATGAGTGCCTGAATCCTGATGGAAGCCTCCTGAGTTTTGCTACTTCAATGCTGTTCTTACGTACAGTGCTTTCTAATAGAAGGTGTCTGGCACATTCAGTGTTTGTTGAAACTGCAGTAATGCATAGCAGTATTGATTAATTCCAAATGTTGGGTGATGAGAAATAAGGCTTATATTTAGATATCCAGGATGTTTTGGAGGTGGAGAACGTTGTTTTCTCAACTTATATATGTCCAAGCAAAAACAGAGTCCCGAAACTCTTGTGCTGGATAATGGACCTTTTGGCTGTAACAACATCGGATTCAAAATCGAAAGCATTGATTTCTGGAGGCTTTATGAAGTAAACATTTTCTTTCTGTACGTTATTTGCTGGTAAGTTATTCCAAAAAGAAATGTAAACTTAATAAACCAATTTAGGAACATATTGACCGCAGCTTGGAAAATGACTCTAGATTGGATTCTGTTTGTAGGAATGCTACTTTAACAGATTTCCCTCATTTACAGCTGCCCTTCTAGAAATGAGTTCTCAGGTGCATTACAGAAAGACCGGAAATCCATTTTCCATTGTTAACAAGGCAGTGAAAAGGCAAAGTTATAAAAGAAGACAGCTTTTCCTACTGCAAGGCAACATCTTGCAAAGTCTAAATCTAGTCTTTACCAAGATAGTTTTGATATTTGTTTGAGGAATTCCCTTGCAGAAAGGAGCTGAATGTTCTTGGAAAGAACAGATTCTAACAGCTGATGACTTGAACCCACCTCCTTGGCATTGCAAGCTTTTTACTGCCAGGCATTTCAAGTGATGTTGTTTCTGTCATGAGGATCTTGCTCACGCCATCTCTTGTTATTTTATGTTTCTTTATGGGTTTTGATGGGTTGCTTAACTCAGCTTTGCTTTCAGCACAAACCACAATTGAGTGGTTATTCATTGTGTTGCTAATGTACCCCTTAAGTTCAAGGAAACATTCTAATCTATGATGACCTTATTTAAATTTTACAAATCTCAGTTATTTCTTTACTTAGCAATATTCTTTGTGGTCTCCCTTTTTTTTTTTTTTTTTTTTTTTTTTT